GTGACACTGTCACATGTAATCAGACATTCCACTGTCTCTTTTCTGACCTCCTGATACCAGAGTATTCCAAGGACATTAGGGAGTAACACTTCATCAACCACAAAGACGGGGGGTGGGGGGGGGGGTTGGGGGAGGGATCAAAATATCTCTTTCTGATAGAATAGGGGTAATGGACACTAGTGACATTCTCTCTTGTCTCGGCCCTCTCTTCCATGTCTTCGCAGATCTTTCTGACCACTATACTATTCTTATTTACAATTACTACATGTACACCTGGCTGCAACCAAATACGTACTTCAACCACCGGATCACCTTCCACCGGATGCCATCACCCTGCACGCGGTGAAATCCGTCTCTGACGTCATCGACAACATCTCCATCATGTCTGCCGTTATCAAACATATGTACAGTTCTGGAGTGGACGCACAAAGAACCTTAAACCGCGAGAACAGTCGCCAAACTCCAGACTAAATGTACGTCAATTTCTACCAGGTGGTCATAATGTGTGTATTAAGTTAACTTCCTGCCTGGTGTGTCTCTCCACTCCTAGTATACTTAACATGCGGCTCACATACCGCGTACATTGTGTGCGCAGAGTGTTCACTCTTCACATCTGCGCCTCTTATTATGAAATAAGTCATCACTATGATCAACGCACGTACCTTTTCAAGTATTTTGGCGTCCTAATTAAGTGTTGGTTTTTGTCATTTTCTTGATTTCAACTTTATATCTCCATGTATCATGTATCATGCTAACACCGAGAGCTGCATTTGTTCTAACAAGTGTACATATTGACTTGAGATGTATACCGATTTAAAATAAAATATCGTAATTACATTATATATTTACATTTCACTTGTCAGTCGCACTATACTGTCCCTCTTTCTCACCCAATGATTTCATTTACTTAATCCATCCTTAATCTTTTATTCGTTTCCTTTTTATTAAATAAATATTACTTTAATCCACTTTGCCATAGTCATTGCTTTCTCTTGATCTCTTTATATAATAATTCGAGTTGTTTTGGTTGAAGTGGACCCAGCAGCTCAATACAGCTTATGCTTTATTGCTTTATCTACACCAGTTGAAAATTAAGTTGATTTTAAGTGTTTTGTACATCAACAAAATGTATATTTAGTCAATATAATCAGCTGCATTTATTATGGCGCGTATGTAACTTTAAGGCTTATCTAAATATATTTACTTCAATTCTCGGTACACCAATAGCACTTTTCCGATCAGTAAAACATGCTGTCAACTGACCAGGCTTCCAAGGTCTGTACGTACTGAACGCCGACTAAAGTCTAAAGGCGACAGTGGGAGGGTAACATTTATATATAGGCGGCTAAATAAATGCAACGACTTTTTGAGTGGTTCCAAGTTGGTGTTCTGCTCTTTTCTGGATTCACATGTTTTCTTTTCATATTTAAGTAGAATAATCACGTATCACGCATCTTCCCTCTCAGTAGATGTATTTTAGTTGGATAACTATGCTGATGTTCACATAGACAGATACATCACCCTTAACTGGAATCCGACATATATTGGATCCTAGCCCGTAAACATTTGCATGAGCGGCATTAACATTTACATCGTGTCCGCTTACGCCATTAAAATGATTTAAAGACAACAAACATATATATATATATATATATATATATATATATATATATATATATATATATATATATATATCACGGTGACAGAAACTTGGCCCCAAGTCCGACGTTTACAAACTAAAAATAATTCAATTCATTTCCTCCCTAAAAGGCAGTTTTGGCTGCGCTAGCACTGTGAGCACGAACGTGTATGGCATATTAACCTCTTCTCATAATATGCTAAATGCACTTTCTACCTTCTTGCTGTTCTACCTTCTAGCTAGATTCTCTTGCTGTTTCAAAATAGTTCAGTCTATTCTCTACCCAAAAGGGAGGTTTAGATACACTTACTCTGTACGTGGCATATCAATTTATCTCTTCTTTCTCGTAATATGTTACATCAACTCTGTATCTGTTCATAAAGTGTGCTAGCTGCTCCTTAGTTATATATCTGTGTGCATGCGTGTGTGTGTGTGTGTGTAACAGAGCTCTGTCAGACAGTGTGTTATATCCGGACCTGACCCTGTTTAATCTCTTCAAATACAGTTCGCTCGGTAAAAATGAATATAACTCTTAAAAAGTGTCAAGCAGAAAGCTTTTCAAGATCGCAAACCTCCACCAGAACAATATGTATAAAATATCATAAAATTCAGTTGGCACACCTAACGAGTATTTTTACGATCGCACCATAAAGTCGTAAATTCGGCGTCCATACACAGCCCACTACGAGAAATCACAAACGTTTCGTTGATATAATGTTTGTACGGCGTTACCATTGTCATAAGCTTGGAATAATAGAGCTGAAGAAATGTTTACCATTTTATCCACCATTTACTGTCATATCATGAGCCACCCATGGTCCAAACGAGCTGAATGGTTATTTTTAAACTGATTAAACAACTGTGTCAACCAACTAACCTTAGGATTTCCCGAAGTTTATGTCCAGCGTTTCGTCGGACATTCTCGCGTCTTAGCAGCAATGACATGACGGTTTTCGCAGGTAGAGATCAGAATACAGTATACACCTCACGTTATTGTTCTACAGCGATACAGTCCAGCAGTAAAACTCCATGCAGGTCCATGCAAATATCGTACACAGAACGTTAGGATCCTCGGTAGACTGTTGAATCTCTCTCTCTTTCTTTCTGAAGAGACACTAGATATCGTCCTCGCCCAGTGAAGGGACCAGTATCTACAGAACAGCGGCAGACCACTAGAGACGCAGAGCAGAGAAATGTAAAGTTCATCTACAAACTCCTTCTGTAAAGGTTCCCAGTTCCTCTTCTTCACTTCGAACACGGCTAGAATGCTCATGGGTTATTTTTGTCAGCACAGCGCAGCGCAAAGGCTTGTTCTGCGAGCTGTTAACCTTCGTCATTAGTGAAAAATGCTGTTTATTTCTTTATGCGGAGGTGGAGGATGCGGCGTCGCCCTGTTAAGGTCGCGACCTGTTTAACCACGGCGTCTGTGATGTACTGTCTTATGCCTTGTCACAGAGAAGATGAGATAGATATCAAATAAAATATGTGTTTGAAGATGACAATGGGATCAAATAAAGCTTGTTTTAGAACAGACATTACAAATGCGTACAGTACGGGCAGGTAAGGGGGGGGTTAAAGCAGGATATCCCGCGTTCCTCGAGTCTTCGTGGCCTTTCATTCGATTGCCTGCACTATTTCAGCGGTATTGTGCTGTTTTTATCTTTTATTTCTATTAATAAATTAATATATAAATTGATTGATTGATTATTTATTTATTTATTTATTTATTTATTTATTTATTTATTTATTGCTTAAACGGAGAGTTTCAGCAGCACTCCAATGCAGCCATTCACGAGGTGAGTATGGAAAAAATTACACCTGGTAAGGAACACACAGCACACTAATATAGCAGGTTTCTTCTTCCCTATACTTCCTTCACACAGGCGTTCTCGTGTTAACCTGGTTCTGAGTCGTGGTATTGACCATTGAGGGTTTATAGTTTGTTTCTCTTTCGATATACAGCTCACATAAAAGCCCCAAGGGATACTTAGACTTTCATCCTTTCTTTTTTTACTGAAGAACATACATGAATCAAAGCAGCAAGCAATTCATATTTCAATTGTTTAAAAACAATCTGGCACATCACAATTATTTGTGAGAAATCCGTCCATTTATAACGTAGGGCTCACTGGGGAGCAGTACACGTAGGTGTTTACAATATTCTGTCTACAGTCGATCTCTGCACGCTAAGTCCTTACTTTTAAAAACTACCTTGTAATGTATAAGAGAAATCAGTTCATTTATAACGTACGGCTCACTGGGAAGCAGTACACGTAGGTATTTACTATATTCTGTATACAGTCGATCTCTGCACGCTAAGTCCTTACTTTTAAAAACTACCTTGTAATGTATGACTTGCATAAGTGCTTCGTACGAGGCATATTTGTACTGAGAATGTATTGCCATATATTTGTATTACTGATGGGTACTTCTTCAAAGGCAAAGCAACATTTCATATTAAACATTTGCGCGTTAAAATTTATTTCAGTCATATGATTGTGTTCTTATTCATATTTAATGGATTTTCATTGTCTGCTTTTTTTCTCATGTTAACAAAGAAGTGCACGCATCGCTGCTAAGGCCGGCTGTCACGTCATGTGCTAACTCGGTAAGTCCGCACTCAGGGCGGTTTGAACACAGGTGGCTTTAGTCTTAACTACAGACAGTGTACAGACGCTGTTAGTGTACCCGTACTGCTGTTGACCCCCCCCCCTCCCCCCGACACCTCCGGACACCCCGGGCTTCACACAGGTTGGTTTTGAAGAGTTTGGCGCGGTGACTGAGCAACTACAGAGCAGGGCTCGGAGGGGGTTGTACTGTAGTTGACCACGTAAGATTGAAAACATGTTTAAAACCCCGTTCTGAACGCGACCATCATAAAGTCACACCTGGCGTCGGGGATCAGCGACAGATCTTTATCACTTTCTAATCCAATTTCAGCTTCATTTTCTACCTGACAGGCACTGAACGCCACAATACACCTGACAGCTTTGGTCCTGAATTCCACTCACTTTACAGATAACTACATAAAATGAGGTTGATGGACGAGGTAAATGGACGATTACTTACGCTGTTTGCACCGGGAGATGTATCTAAGCAGTTCACCGTGAACGTTCATTCATAGCATATATTTATATAAACACTCTTATCCTACGAGTATGCAGGGAGTGGAAATACATCGAAGAAAGGCACGCTGTTCATTTAAATCATACTATTACCATAACCAATAACAGTTTCTCTCTCTCTCTCCCCTCCCCCCTCCCTCATTCTCTCTCCTCCTCTTTCTCCCCACTCTCATTTTCTCTTTCCCTCCTACTCTCTCTCTCTCTCTCTCTCTCTCTCTCTCTCTCAGTATACTCACTGTGTAGCTTTACCCCGTGACGTGACGCCGCCACCTCCACTCCGGCCACTCAGTCTCCTCACCGTCTTCAAGATACTCCTGGCTGGAGACAGCAGCGTGCTCTTCCTGGACCTATTCCCTGTGGTCGCCCCCTCCACGCTACTGGCCAGCGTCGGGTCTGAGCCGCCGCACGAGAACGTGGACGCCGAGTTGTTCCTGGAGAGCGTGGCGGGATCCCAGGGGGGCCGGGCGTAGTAGGGGAGGGAGGTCTGGGACCCGGAGGGTGACATCCACCGTGAGAAACTCCCCTCCCGGGACCACATTATAACACTGAGACCACAGGGTTCAGCAGTTTTCTGAGGGGGGTGGGTTGGGGAAGGAGGGGGGTCTATGAAGACGCTGGTAACATCTAGAGAACCACACACGCTGTTCTCCCCAGGATTGTTAACGCGTAGTCTGTCGTAGAGTTAAAGGAGATCCCTGTCCTGTCCTGTCAGATATCTGGGGGCCAAGGACTGGTGAAATATCTGGTGTTCAAAGTTTGTACCACAATACACAGCACATACACCACTATGTGTTAGGTTGAGAACACGTGTTCAACTGGCCGGAACTGGCTGTCTGAAGTGTAAGCTAGAGACCACTGTGAGAGTACCACCTACTGCTGCTAATATTGTGGTTTTCCAAGGCTAACAACCACATACGGGTTATATTCATGTGATGTTGAATATGTATACTCTCAGAGCTGACCAAGTTAAGATGTCTACAGGGCTGTGTGTATGCACTGCTGTGTTCTCTCTCTTGTCCGGTATTGTCCGGTAGTGTCCACTGTCAGTCTGACTAGCGTCTCTTGTGTAACTCTTAAGTCTGTATACGGCCAGTAGGGCACTACGCGCATTTGTTGCTGAACTCTTTCAACTGAATGTTAACAGTGTGCGGTCTGCTACACCTGTGTGAAATATCACAATAGCGTCACAACATTAACCCAAGGTACGCGTCTTAATCCTGCCCGGCCCTGCTTACAAAGACAGCACTCGTGTTCCGCACACTGCCCTCACAAGTTCACCAAGAAATCTTTAACTGCAGATAGAACGCGCCTAAATGATCCTAAATGTCTCCCTGTGGGGAGCCAATTTTTAACAGAAGAAAAACGGAAAAACACCAAACTGAAACCCCTGAAAGGTCAAATTATTCACGTTTGTCGTAATTGGAAAACGATCTCCGTACTTCACGTCTGTTGTGTGAGTTCATAGAATCTGTATAGATATTATAGCTACCTCAGTGCATTGATACCGAGTACAATGAAATTGAATCCTAGTGTACGTTAAATCAAAATCCAGAGGGAAATTTCAGCAACGTTACTGTATGACTATGCCCTCGCGTGAAGCAAACAGATTAAGACAGATTCTGCGCCCTAAACCTCCGAGGCTTTTCTGAATGTAATCAAGGCTATTTTCCTCCTATTTCTACCAGATGAGTTTTCCTCGTATTGTCCTGCAACAGCTGTGTGTCTGCCACATGATATCTACTCCGTGTACTGAGCCAGCTTCTTGTCTTCACTGTGGTCGAGTAAACATGACCTCTACAGAGCCTCTCATTCATGCGGGCACATACCTGAGTATTTGCACGGCGTATGTCCGATAACGAGGCTTTGTAAATACTTTGCTCTTCTTGACATAAAAGACAAAACAAGTCTTGCGGCGAGGGTTTTAATAGCCACCGCGCCAGTCAATGGCTGATATTCTGGGTACCAATGCTCGAAAGATCTCTGGACTCTTTTGTTGTAATTAAGAAAATGCTTGAAACAATGCACCCCTGCGGCTAGTGGTAGACTGACCACATGCATTTTCTGTGTATTTCTCAATGGTGAACATCTGTTCAAAACGCCTGGTGCACCTCCACGGCTATTAGTGGGGTTTACTGGTTTGACCGTCTAAACATTACCCGTGGTCAACTGGCTTGACCGTCTAAACCTTACCCGTGGTCAACTGGCTTGACCGTCTAAACATTACCCGTGGTCAACTGGCTTGACCCTCTAAACCTTACCCGTGGTCAACTGGCTTGACCGTCTCAACCTTCCCCGGGGTTAACGGCTTATATCCTAGCAGACACCGGGTAACCGGTCAGACTGTGTCATAGCTATCTCCATGGTCTGATGATGTGAAGTAAAGTGCACGAGTAGTTAAGACAGAACGCGGTACTTGTTAACACCGCGGGCAGTATTCACATGGACGGACGGACGGATGGATGGATGGATGGATGGGTGGAAAACAACACTTGAGAAATCTCCACCTCAGGACGGGCGGCAGTGAGATGAGAGCAGTTGATGAACACCACCAGACACCCAGTTATCCGGGCGGCAGAAATGGCGGAGGAAATTAAATGCTGATGATATTTTAACACCAATATGTTAAAACACATACAGGTACAGAGTTCATGAAGACGGTGCACTGCCCCCTGTATGTTATTCCACGAGGTACTGAATGTTAGCCAGACATTTCTTGTTAAACAGTCAATTTAAGCAGATATCACCACATAAATAATGGATTTGAGATTTTCACAGTAAGGTATACATACAAACTGACGTCACACAGCGCCATGTGCCAGCTGATACCACGTAAGTTAAGCTTCAGTAAATATAATCATGTGATCAATAGTCACAGATTGTTGACTGTAATTTATTCTTCATAACTTGTCAAGTCTGGCTGTTAACGCTGTAGATGTATTTAAGAACAAACTGGGGTAATGGTCTATTATGTGGAGCTTGTTTTGATCTCTCAAAAACTCCTTCACAGCACCCGCTGAAATGAGTCATCTGACTTTATTATTAGTATTATTATTTTGCGGTGTTATTTTAATTGCGCTTTTAACTCAGCATTATGTGTAAATATAAAGGACGCCTTTGTACAATGATTGTTACCTGTTCTACTGTGTTTAGGGGATAGGGTGACATACTGCGCGTCCTGAACATGTTTATCGACACATTTACAGGTAACGCGTATGCCTATGTTTACCCGTCGTGTGTATTTATTTCTTCAATGTTAGCCTGACCTTTTAATTTACAATAAAAATGACGTTTTAGGTAAATGTGGCAGCGTTTTCCTTCACCGAGAAAAGGCTGCTTATTTATAAATATAAAACAATTACTTGTCTGATGCCAGGTTGTACTCGGTGACCTCTGGGTCACTGGATCAGCTGATTACAGACATCCATGTCAGAGCTAGCTTAGGACTTCTACAGTGCTAAAACATTGGAAGACGATGTACTCAAAACACAATCACATAACACAGTCAGAGAGCACAGTTTATATACAGCGATAAAAACACACTGAAAGCTGAAGAACCCATACCACAATCGCAGGTCACAATTTGAGCTAGCAACGCTATGATGTGATTCTAACAGCTTTGTTGAAATTTTCTCAGACTAATAATGACGTAGGGGGGGGGGGGCGTAGGGGTTTTAGCTAACGACTTTCTTCAACCACGTCTTTTATAAACACACCAGACTTCACCGTGTATATCCCAGCTAACACCTCTTTCCCTTAACAACTCTCTCCACTACACGAGTAAATAAAAACAAACACAAAACCAATCTGTAACAAAACAAACGTATTGTTCTAGTGAGCTGTCAACGTGACACATGACTTGGTTTACTCCATTACAAAGGTAGTAGCGCATGACGAAACATTTCTTCAAGTGTCTGATATTGACATTTAACATAATGACAGTGACATATTGACAGTGACATATTGACAGTGGCATGCTGACAGTGACATAATGACAGTGTCATGCTGACAGTGAGATATTGACAGTGGCATGCTGACAGTGACATATTGACAGTGGCATGCTGACAGTGACATATTGACAGTGACATATTAGCACGTATCTTTAGTTTCACTTTGATAAATAAAATTATTACCACACCCACAGAGTGCATTAAAATAAATAATTCGGTTACTTTAATCGTTGTTAAACTAAAACAATCTGCTCTAAGTCATCCGCTCTGTTCCCATTGATATAATAGGGGTGTTCGCGTCCTACTGGTATATGACCTTGAGACAGCTTCAGTCGTTTTGCCTCTGTCAGAAGTTCAATGTTTTTTAAAAATTCCATTCCCTATAGACAACCTGTGTTATGTGCTAGTATCTAAGATATGTATGTCTCTATAGACAACCTGTGTTATGTGCTAGTATCTAAGATATGTCTCTATACAGTCGGCAGTTCAAGTGGACGAAGAAAATAAAGGCACGATCAGGCGCTGCTCAAAACATGACGTCAAGACTCGAACTCTTCTAATCCTACATATTTTGCGGTGTACGCATGCGTGATGACGTCAGATATGACGACAACGGAATGAAACCGGAAAAGGATCAACAGAGGGAAGGTCACGTGGGACAGAATGACCCAGGTTTGGAAGGAATAAAAGTAGATTTGTACGTGATTCGCGACCTCCTTACGAACCCCAAACGAGTTGAATGCCCAGAGACAGAAGTTGCAGATAAGCAGGAAGAATAGTCCCTCCCTTCCGGGACGCTGCGTCCTGTGGTCTTTAGTGGTCGCCCTGCGTGGCAGAAATGACGTCATCAGGAACAGCGACTGTACCACCGCCTCCAGTATCACTATAGTAGCGTCCACCACGGTCAAGGCAGCGTCCTGGTCTGGTGACCCAGCCCCAGCTATGATGGTGAGGGTACAGTAGGCCAGCAACCCCAGCAGAGATATTCCTAGCAAGGCCTTGTCCAGCCCTAGCTGATGCTGATGGCGGTTGGATTCCTGCACAAACTGCGTCGCCTTCATACCTGACCTGATACCGCGAATACGCGCGTTCTTCTTCATCATTCCCTTCATCTGGCAGTGCGTGACCAGTGTGGCGCAAACACACAGTACATTAATGATTGACTTCACGATAAACAACTCCTGGTGCATGGAGCCGTCCTTAGTCTTATACTTGTAGTACAGGAAGATGATGATGGTCCCGAAGGTGACCAGGATGACTAGCATCCCCAGAAACAAGCCACAGTAGTTACTGGAGTGGTGCGTCGTCTCCTTCTCTTCCTCCCAGTCTGGTTCAAACACAGTGGTAGCGATAGACCTACAATAGAAGTGATAACCAGTGATTGACCTATCTCTTAAACACAGCGAGGAAAACGCCTTGCAAGCACATGCCAATTCTTTACGTGTGCAAGATAACATGGAAAAGTAAACTGTAATTATTGTTTCAGATTCACCAGTTTGATAAATTTTTTTAATTATGCAGCAGTCATTATCGGTTATAATCAGTGATGTCCCGGGAGGAAGAGGGCACCTACCTCTGTGAGGGAACAGACTGCAGTGGTTTTGGAGGGTAGTTTCTCTGTGGTAACACTTGCTGGCGCCGGTCTTCTTCATAGTCGCGGCCGTACTGTTCAAAGTGAGGGTGTGACAGCACCAGTTTTAGCCTGTTCCCGCCGTCATCCCCTTGAGCACGTGACGACTGCTGGGCGCCGTGTTTACCTGACGTGGACTGCTCGGTGAGACTGAGGTGTTCCAACTCTGCAGGGTCAATCTTAAACTGTACATCGTCATTCACAGGTAGACAGTTACCATTGGGCGTTGGCCGGTGTCCCCCGCGGTCATCTCTGTGGTGCACCTCTCCCTCGGTCTCCGGGTTTCCTGCTGAGCGCGTGACCTCGTCCCTGCCCTCGCTGTGACAATCATCACTGTCATCACTGTCCTCTCTAATCCGAGGCAGTGTCATGGAGTAGCTCTTGTTCCGGTGCTCTAGCCGGGCAATGCTGGCAGACTTCTTGAAGGTGGCTCTGCCGTACCGGCGGTCGTAGGTGCCATGGGAGGAGCTGCGGAACACGGAGTCTCTGCGAAACACCTGGGAAAACACAGACATCACATGTAAGGCTGTCTTTTCACAACTAACACATTCTCAGCACATTCTGATTACAACTAACACATGCTCAGCACATTAGGATGTCATTTATCTGTTTTTTATTAGGCTTGGATAGGAACTGCAGTCACTTGATCTATGTTATTGCTTGGGATTTCTTTCATTCATATGGCATAAAAATTATTTAGTTTTATGTATTTTAATTATTAAAATTATTAAAATAATTCTCAGATGGGACTTGCATTCATCACAGACATGATTTCCACTAACACCAAAGATATGGAAGGGCTCTTATCCACAGGAAAAAAGTTGTCACTTGATGGGAATATATTCATTCAAACTTTTATTGTAAATGGGTTTGCAGATGCATATTTCACTAGCCTTTGCGTTTTCCATCATACAGTTATCAAGCCGAAAGGTTTGCAAGTCATTTGAGTAAGTAATCAAAATTCACCAAATGAAAATTCTCAGCACATTCTTATCACAACTAACACATTCTCAGCACAATCTGATCACAACTAACACATTCTCAGCACAATCTTATCACCACTAACACATTCTCAGCACATTCTTATCACCACTAACACATTCTCAGCACATTCTTATCACAACTAACACATTTTCAGCACATTCTGATCACAACTAACACATTCTCACACACTCTTTAGTCACACCCAAAGGGCCAGCCATGTTACTAACCCCGGTGTCGCTGTGAGGGTCGTCACTGACCCTGCTCCAGACGAGGTAGATCATACAGGAGGAGATGAGACTACTCTCTATTACACACGGGTACAGGTAGGACGAAAACAACCCAGTGATACCTGATGGACAGTAAGCAGACGTCTTGTTCCCATAGCCAGACGCTGAAAAGACAAAAGGGACGTTTGAACATGCTGATACTATCCCCCAGTGGTCACAGTAGCGTTGTTTGCAACACGCTTTTTAGAATAATAAATCCATTAAAACCTTTAGCAGAATTAAATACTTAAAAATACAAACTGTTAATATATATAAAACCTAAAACAGTAATAGGATCGTGATTTTAGATCAAAATAAACAGCAATATTTCCTTATACAAAACTATTTACGAATTAGATCATCATTTATCAGATATTGGTTGACTCCATTGAGCAAATCCCAATGGGACCTGTTCACTTAACATAGATGTCCTCATAAGCTTTAAGACGCCTTTTTACAGTTTTCAATAAAAGTTGATCTGCTGAGCACAAACCTCAGGTTTTAAGATAGTAAACAACTACGGTATATAATTGAAATATGTTAATGACACTTTGACTATATGCATACGAGGTTGTTTTCTAGCGGCAATGTTATGAACAATGTTTTTTGAGGCTGCCATGTAGAATAGATTTTCAGTAATCCGTTTTAAAAATTACCAGAGAATGACTGTAGCTGCGGCAGTCTAAAAAGTGATTACGAATTGATCATTTGTTCTTAATTTGCTAGGTGTTAGGTGTCTGTTTTTTCTGACATTTTCAGTTGGTGTGGCTAGTTTATAACTAAAGGCTTGGACCTTCCACAATTCATTTTAATAATTTGCCTTTTCAGCCACCAAGGCAATCTTAAGGCCTTTCCGGATACAAAGACTCAATCTTTGTGTCATTTCAAATGTGTGTAGGAGAACAAACCTCGATTTCACTAGGCTATCAGCATATATATATATATATATATATATATATATATATATATATATATATATATATATATATATATGTGAGACAGTTAAAATCCAGTTATTCACAAAGAGACAGGTGATACGCTGTTGTCAAAAAGTTATCTACCACATGCAGCAAACTGCTTCAGCATCAAATGCAGAAATCAATATAAAGCAAGCGCATTAGCTCGACAGAAACATGGACAGCATATGCAAACCATTTCCCTGACTGGGCGTTATCTGCACTACAAGGGGTGTGTGTGTGTGTGAGGGGGGGGGCGTGCAAGCAGGGGGGTTAGTCAACTTGCTAATGTGTTCACAGCTATTATCGCCGGCGAGGCCGTCCTCTACAGTGTTTTGTGCACAGTGCTGAACACGTCAAGACTTACTACCGCTGTCAATGCCAAACATTTCAGTCTCAGGGTTTAGGCAGTGTCCGGCATTGATTCAAGATATTGCGTACACAGACGCCCATGCTGGCAGTTAAAGGTACTTTATATACGTTTGAGAACGACCCGGTTCTTATCAATCCCATTTCGGGCCTTTAAAACCTTTTAAAGGCTCTTAATGGCGACATTTACCCCTGATATTTAGAAATCGAAGGAATCATGATTCGTTCAGAACTAAGTAATTTAATTAAAAACGGTAGAAAACATTTAATCTAAGAGAAAAGTCTGGTTCAGCAATAGTAGGAGTCTGAAAAATGGCTCTTTTACTGAGGGAAATCACTTCTGGCGTGTGAACTCCACATAGAATACCTTTAACGAATTTCATTGATTTCCATTTATTGCTTGGTGCAGCTATGCATCATTTGGGACCAGTATCTGCTTCATAACATTACAATTCATGCAATTTGAATAATACAATTTCTAATAGAACATGGGCATGCGAACTATAATGCAATACATCTACCAAATATTAACTAAAGTAACAAACAATCATCGACTTATTGAATACAACTGGCATATTTATTTCTAATCTCAGCAAAGAAATCGAATTTCCGAAGTTTTTCTTACTTCACCAAAATAATCATTTTTGTACACTCATAAAACTGTGTGCAGACGAGCGCCATCTGTCAGTACTGTGAGTTCTCGTGTGTGACGTCATTACAGACACGTCATATCTACATCCTGCTTATCAATTACAAAATTGCTTAACTATATATTATACAAAAATAATTAAGTAAGCCATTGATGTCCGAAGACAAAACCTATAGTATGTCTACGTTATTGTCTAGGAGTGGATATAAAAGCCAAGCAAAGCCTCACCATTCACGCTGTAGTGTGTGGTATAATGAGTGTCTGAGGGGGTAAGCGTTGTCAAACCTCCGCTCTTGGAGTGCTCGTGTTCGTCCATCTCCATCACGTGACGGGCCTCGGAGATGGTGGTGTAGATCCACACTGAGATGTTGGTACCAAGCACTAACATCAGCCCAAACCGGGATAACACAGGGACCACGTTACCCTTGTTAATAGAGACCTGCAAAGATAAAATAGGACGAGGTGTCGCAACATTATTTTGATGATTAAACTCACTGTAGGCAAAAAACGACTTAGTCAGCTTTCATGCGTGTCTCTCGCTGTTGACAAATACGGGTTCCTGTTTTCTGCCGCGAGCTATATTAATACGGGTCTAATGTACTACTAGTATGACAGATATCATAGGTGCTCGTAACACTTACTTTTTGATCGCACTATGTAATCACGGCTTAAGCCGGTAACATGGTGCTCGAAACTAGAAATCTGCGGCTAGAAATAACAAACAAACAAACAGTGATTCTGCTTATAAGAACTGAATCATTTGTTATGGTTTAAGTTAAGACGTTTTTGATAACAGCAAAAAAGATGTTAAAATATTGAAACTAATCCGGTTAAGAATGCCTACAGGCCCTTTAAAAAATCTTCATTCTGTTGTCCTTTGTATTACCCTGTAGATGTCAATGTATGTATTCACGTACAGAGATATGTGTTACCCTGTAGATATCAATGTATGTATTCACGTACAGAGATATGNCGTGAGCACGTGACGACTGCTGGGCACCGTGTTTACCTGCCGTGGACTGCTCGGTGAGACTGAGGTGTTCCAACTCTGCAGGGTCAATCTTAAACTGAACATCGTCATTCGCCGGTAAACAGTTACCATTGGGCGCTGGTCGGTGTCCCCCGCGGTCATCTCTGTGGTGCAGCTCTCCCTCGGTCTCTGGGTTTCCTACTGAGCGCGTGACCTCGTCCCTGCCCTCGCTGTGACAATCATCACTGTCATCACTGTCCTCTCTAATCCGAGGCAGTGTCATAGAGTAGCTCTTGTTCCGGTGCTCTAGCCGGGCAATGCTGGCAGACTTCTTGAAGGTGGCTCTGCCGTATCGGCGGTCGTAGGCGCCATGGGAGGAGCTGCGAAAAACGGAGTCTCTCCGAAACACCTGGGAAAACACATACATTAGGCTGTCATTTATCTGAGCCAATGGCTACTGGTTTTATATTTTACAGAGTTCTTTCTTAGGCTTGGATAGGAACTGCAGTCACTTGATCTCTGTTATTGCTTGGGGATTCTCTCACTTATATGGCATACAGAATTGATTTAGTTTTATATATTAATAATTCTCAGATGGGGCTTGCATTCATCACAGACATGATTTCCTCTAACACCAAAGATATGGAAGGGTTCTTATCCACAGGAAAAAATTGTCACTTGATGGGAATATATTCATTCAAACTTTTATTTTATTGTAAATGGTTTTGCAGATGCATATTTCACTAGCCTTTGCGTTTTCCATCATACATTAATCGAGAAGTTTGCGAGTCATTTGAGTAAGTAATCAAAATTCACCAAATGACAGCTAGCAGTATAATATCCCAGACAATTTTACCACAACCATCCTCTCAGCACAATCTGATCACAACTAACACATCTCTGATCAACACATTATCAGCACATCAGCACATTCTGATCACAAGTAACATATTCTCCGCACAATCTTATCACCACTAACACATTCTCAGCACATTCTGATCACAACTAACACATTCTCACACACTCTTTAGTCACACCCAAAGGGCCAGCCATGTTACTAACCCCGGCGTCGCTGTGAGGGTCGTCACTAACCCTGCTCCAGACGAGGTAGATCATACAGGAGGAGATGAGACTACTCTCTATCACACACGGGTACAGGTAGGACGAGAACAACCCAGTGATACCTGACGGACAGTAAGCAGACGTCTTGTTCCCATAGCCAGACGCTGAAAAGACAAAAGGAACGTTTGAACATGCTGATACTATCCCCCAGTGGTCACAGTAGCGTTGTTTGCAACACGCTTTTCAGAATAATAAATCAATTAAAACCTTTAGCAGAATTAAATACTTAAAAATGCAAACTATTAAGATACATAAAACCTAAAACAGTTATAGGATCGTGATTTTGGATCAAAATACACAGCAATATTTCCTAATAGAAAACTATTTACGAATTAGATCATCATGTATCAGATATTGGTTGACTCCATTGAGCAAATTCCAATGGGACCTGTTCACTTAACATAGATGTCCTCATAACCTTTAAGACGCCTTTTTACAGTTTTCAATAAAAGTTGATCTGCTGAGCGTAAATCTCGGGATTGAAATGTGTTAGTGACACTTTGAATATATGCATACGAGGTTGTTTTCTAGCGGCAATGTTGTGAACAATGTTTTTGAGGCAGCCATGTACATGTAGAATAGATTTTCAGTAATCCATTTTAAAAATTACCAGAGAATGACTGTAGCTGCAGCAGTCTAAAAAGTGATTACGAATTGATCATTTGTTCTTAATTTGGTTGTTTAGTGATTACACTAGTTCCAGTTAGGTGTCTGTTTTTTCTGACATTTTCAGTTGGTGTGGCTAGTTTATAACTAAAGGCTTGACACCTTCCACAATTCATTTTAATAATTTGCCTTTTCAGCCACCATGGCAATCTTAAGGCCTTTCCGGATACAAAGACTCAATCTTTGTGTCATTTGAAATGTGTGTAGGAGAACAAACCTCGATTTCACTAGGCAATCAGCATTTATATATATATATATATATATATATATATATATATATATATATATATATATATATATATATATATGTATGTGAGACAGTTAATATCCAGTTATTCAAAAAGAGACAGGTGATACGCTGTTGTCAAAAACTTATCTACCACGTGCAGCAAACTGCTTCAGCATCAAATGCAGAAATCAATATAAAGCAAGCGCATTAGCTCGACAGAAACATGGAAAACATATGCAAACCATTTCCCTGACTGGGCGTTATCTGCACTACAAGGGGTGTGTGTGTGTGTGTGTGAGGGGGGGGGGGCGTGCAAGCAGGGGGGTTAGTCAACTTGCTAATGTGTTCACAGCTTTTATCGCCGGCGAGGCCGTCCTCTACAGTGTTTTGTGCACAGTGCTGAACACGTCAAAACTTACTACCGCTGTCACTGCCAAACATTTCACCGTTCAGTCTCAGACTTTAGCCAGTGTCCGGCATTGATTCAAGATATCGCGTACACAGACGCCCATGCTGGCAGTTAAAGGTACTTTATATACGTTTGAGAACGGCCCGGTTCATATCAATCCCATTTCGGGCCTTTAAAACCTTTTAAAGACTCTTAATGGCGACATTTACCCCTGATATTTAGAAATCGAAGGAATCATGATTCGTTCAGAACTAAGTAATTTAATTAAAAACGGTAGAAAACATTTAATCTAAGAGAAAAGTCTGGTTCAGCAATATTAGGAGTCTGAAAAATGGCTCTTTTACTGAGGGAAATCACATCTGGCGTGTGAACTCCACATAGAATACCTTTAACGAATTTCATTGATTTTTAGTTATTGCTTGGCACAGCTATACATCATTTGGGACCAGGATCTACTTCATAACATTACAATTCATGCAATTTGAATAATAAAATTTCTCATAGAACATGGGCATGCGAACTATAATGCAATACATCTACCAAATATTAACTCAAGTAACAAACAATCATCGACTTACTGAATACAACTGGCATATTTAATTCTAATCTCAGCAAAGAAATCGCATTTCCGATGTTTTTCTTACTTCACCAAAATAATCATTTTTGTACAGTCATAAAACTGTGTGCAGACGAGGGCCATCTGTCAGTACTGTGAGTTCTCGTGTGTGACGTCATTACAGACACGTCATATCTACATCATGCTCATCAATTACATCATTGCTTCACTATATATATATTATCCAGAAATAATTTTATTTAATTTGATTAATGTAGGAAGACAAACCCTATAGTATGTCTACGTCATTGTCTAGGGGTGGATATAAAAGCCAAGCAAAGCCTCACCATTCACGCTGTAGTGTGTGGTATAATGAGTGTCTGAGGGGGTAAGTGTTGTCAAACCTCCGCTCCTGGAGTGCTCGTGTTCGTCCATCTCCATCACGTGACGGGCCTCAGAGATGGTGGTGTAGATCCACACTGAGATGTTGGTACCCAGCACTAACATCAGCCCAAACCGGGATAACACAGGGACCACACTGCCTTTGTTAATAGAGACCTGCAAAGATAAAATAGAACGATGTGTCGCAACATAATTTTGATGACTAAACTCATTGTAGGCAAGAAACGGTTTAGTCAGCTTTCATGCGTGTCTCTCGCTGTTGACAAATACGGGTTCCTGTTTTCTGCCGCGAGCTATATTAATACGGGTCTAATGTACTACTAGTATGACAGATATCATAGGTGCTCGTAACACTTACTTTTTGATCGCACTATGTAATCACGGCTTTATCTGCGGCTCGAAAAAAAAACAAACAAACAAACAAACAAACAGTGATTCTGCTTATAAGAACTGAATCATTTGTTATGATTTAAGTTAAGACATTTTTGATATCATCAATAAAGATGTTAAAATATTGAAACTAATCCGGGTAAGAATGCCTACAGGCCCTTAAAATCTAAATTCTGTTGTCCTTTGTATTACACTGTAGATGTCAATGTATGTATTCACGTACAGAGATATGTATTACCCTGTAGATATCAATGTATGTATTCACGTACAGAGATATGTGTTACCCTGTAGAT